AAAAAAGAAACCTCTGGAGAAACCGAATATAGGCAATTAGTCCCACTTTCAGAGTGGTATAGTCACAGTGCAAATAAAAGATTGCATCGTAGTATTATAGAGCAACTCACAGCTTCATATGTTAAGAGTTTCTAATGAATCATCTCATTTATTTTTTCTTGCTTGTTTTGTTGTAAAATATTACCCCATAAGTGGTCGATTAACTCTGTGTCTTCCAAATTTTATTCAAATGAAGAACATTTGTTAAAAGCTTACAATTTTAGCAGGGGGTATTTGGATGCCTGGATTCAAAACAACATCACTCAGCATGACCTGTTCAGTGTAAGAAAATGTGAGAGTATCCTGATTGAGTTCCACTACTCTAATGTGGCTCACACTGTTGTCTAAGTATGGTCTTGGTTTCTCTTCAAGAAATCACAAGGCACTTGAATATTTGGTTCCTTAGACACAGGAGAAGAAATTATAAGCATTCAGATCATCCAGCATTCTGATCAAAAATTGCACTGCCGGCTCAATAACAACAATACAAAGCAGGTAAAATATTATATTTTCAAAAGAGAATATATACTCCAATGCCTCAGCTTTCTGAAGAATGGAAATAAATTACAACATTATTCAGCTCATAATAATGATTTATTATTAATCATAATATTTCAAGAATATTTTTCAAAAGTATTCATTTTTGAAGACTACCATTCTCCTTTCTTTTTTGTGGGGGAAAAAGAGAATTTTTTTCATGTATTGTTTTTAATGCTTATGGACACTTAGACAAGCTCCAAGCAAATTAAGTGGGAAAAGAGAGTATGAACATATTTTAGAGTATGTGTGTGAAAGCTAAGATGAGCAGGACCTCTTCTGTGAGAGAGCGCTGCCACTGCAGTGAACTCCAGGAATTTCGTGGGAAAAGTGAGTAGCTTGAGATAAATAACCCCTCAAAGTCACTTTTTTTTTGATAAAATAAACCTTTGTTTTGTATAAATGAACAATTGGATTGCCACATACTCCAATCTAGTCAAGAGAATGGTCAGCAGTCTTTTATGATTCTGTAATTAAATTTATTG